AATGCTAACGCTGAGCCTCTGAATTAGCAACGAGCGAAAAATGCTAACAGATTACTGCACCGAAATTCACTCGCAAAACCTTATTATTTATCTTTTCTGCACATCCAACACATCGTTTCACATCGTGAGGTGACACAGAATCGATGGGTGCATACATTAACACTCCATGATACGAACTCGCGACTTTATAAACAAAAACAGACATCAAAACATGTGGCGCTAGGTAGCTAAAAACGCTAACATGGCTTACCTGTGTCGTAGTTTGGTCAAAAGTGGTCTTCAATGGCATTAAAACGATAAAAACGCTTAATCCATAGGTTAATCCAATGTGTCTGTGTCCCTTTGAAATGATTTCTGATAATCCATAAGCAATAAAACGGCTTTTCTGTTTCCAGATGTCAGAGCTAGAGTATAGGTTCGCTCTGATGCAAAACTGCATGCGCGAAGCCCCCACCTTTTTTTTTTACTGTGTGTGTGTGTGGGGGAATCCCCCTTCGATTCTATTGGCTCTAACGGTCAGAAAGAGGTGTCAACCATCAAAATCGACAAAGGGGAGCCAGAGATATGGAAAATCCACCCAAATGACCCCAGAAGTGTTTTTTTTTGTGCTAAATCTTTCTAAAAAGGTCAAATGTCACTTGTTTTGCATCAATCTTGATACAGGGTACTTATATGTTGTACTTTGGATTCCTAAAGCCTTTAGTCTACTAACCCATCATCCAAGGGTAGTTTTCACTATAAGTAAAAAAGAATTTTTGGACGGACACTATAATTTACAGTTTTTTACTATGTTCAATCTGAATTTTCTTTAAAATAAAAAACATCTATATTGATTCTGACTTTTCTACATCCAACTCACAGGTTTATCATTACTTTGAGAAAAAAGATTATTAATGTAACCCTTTTAGAAGGGAAGATATGGTCATTTGTTCTGGGAATGTCATTTTCGAGCCTGAGACCTGAAAAACAGGCTCAGGGCTAAACAGGTTAAGGCCGCTACACAACCACCTGAGACCAAAGAACGCGTACCGAAGGCGTCCCGTCTTTTACGTCAGCTACGTCGCCTGCGTCGGCTACATAAAAAGAAGATGAGCCAATATATTGAGGACTTTGTTCTATTATTAAACAATAAGGTGGGTGAAGTAATAAAAGTAACAGGTGCGATTTTATGTAGCACGAGGCGCTGTGTTCAATGGAGAGCAGGAGGTGAAACCTTGCACTCCTGTGTCCTGAAATAGAGCCTAACCTTTCCACACACACACACACACACACAAGTTATTTCTGTGCTCTTTGCTTCTCTCAGCAGACAAACACAGCAGGCACACAGGGAGGTCTGAAAGCAAAGGACTCTGCCCCAGTCACCTACTTGTCTAGAGACAGCTCAGTGTCTCCCCAGAGTGCTCAACTAATCCAATCCAGTACACGGCTCCTCTCCTTCTAATTAAAGTCTATTTTTCCAATTTAATCAGCTTTAGATCTTTAGCGCTTTTATTTTTTTCATATTTTCCTTTGTATACATGCTTATATTTTTACCCTGCAAAATCGTTTTTTTTGCCACTTGTTGGCTGTTGAAACATATTGTAAAAATAGGAATGGCAGACCATACACTTTTAAGCCACAGAAGACATATACTGTAATGCTTGTTATCAGGTTCATATCAGTATGTAGTGTCTCTACTGTGACATGTCTCCAGGCTTTAATGTTCACAAAGCTCTTTTCTCATACTGCCTGTGCTGCAGCACCTCTTTTCACCCTCTGTCTGAAACCAGAGCCCAGTCTGCTCTGGTTGGTTAGCTGGCCGGCTCGGTTGTGATTGATTAAAACAGAGCGCTACGAGCACTAGCCAATAGAAGTGTGAGTGTAACATAGTGATATCATTCATTATAAAGTGATGCAGTAGGGGAGAGAAACACAGGGATTGTAGCTTTTGCAGACCATTTGCATGCAGAAACAACTTAGATAACAAACTACAGGAAAGGGAAAACACAAAAAGCATAATAGGGCTCCTTTTAATAAAAAAATGATGCTTCCAAACACATCCAGCAGTTATGGAGCAAGATAATCATAATGACTTTTGTTTGTGTCCAGCTGATGAATGCAAAGTCCGATATTGTCTCTCTTTGAGCTCCTTTGAAAAGTGAAACGTCTGTCTCTTTAGCTGCTAAATTCTCCACTTTTCCCCCCAGCTAGTCTCTAACTCTGTCTGTCTGCTTGTTCCTGCTAAGGAAGTAGAGCACAGGGGCTTTTTACTGCGCTTCCTGAGAACAGCGTAGTGCTGCAGACGGTAATGTCACTATGAGCCCACTGAGAGTCAGCCAGAATAAACAATGAATAACAATAAAGCTCTGTATATCCAAAGGGATTCATTACTATTTGCAAACTCTTTCAAATGTCTTTTTATGCATTTATTCTAAAGAATATTGATTAAAGCTGCTTTAATATTTGATCCTCTGATAATGCTAATGCACTTTACATTGATTCCTGCCCCCTGCTAGTTTAATGCCTGATTGCAATCCAAAAAGTTATTATATCAAATCATCTTTTAAAAACAAAAATAGTGTTTTCTCTTCTTCCTTGATGTCTGTCTCAGGCTCCAACAGGAGAACACTTTTGTAAACCCTGCAGCATTGTGGGCCTCTGATAGCAGATGGAGTGAGTTATTGAGACTTCCATGTGACTGTAAATACTGTGACCGGGGTCAGGCAGCCATGTTGGAAGAGCTCTGCTCTAAGGTCACTTTCAGACAGAGCAGGTTAAATAAGAAAGCAGCCTCATCTGTTGGCAGTGAGGCCGCGCTGCAGCACACACGGGGCTACAGTCTCAGGTGGTCCAGTGAAAGACTTCCTCTTCAGCTCTATTTCTATCTTTATGAGAATGGTTTTGAGGAATTAAAAAAACATTTAAGTAAAGAATCTGCACTATTATATTATTTTTGTGATGTTAAAACTAACAAACACAAAACAAACTACAAAAAGTAATAAAAACAGTAGAAGAATCTTTTCATTTCTGCAGATTCATTTTATATTTATTTGCAGGATTTTTTTCATAAACTGCTGATATGACTTGTAAAGGTTTTATTGCATTTGTGACCATGAGCGTTATCAACATCTACTCACACTTTGGACCGTACTACAAAAAGTAATAATATCAGTAGAAGAATATTTGCATTTCTGCAGATTCATTTTACATTTATTCGCAGGATGTTAATAAATTGCTGATATCACTTGTAAGGGTTTTATTGCATTTGTGACCATGAGCGTTATCAACCTCTACTCACAGTTTGGATCGTTTTGTTCTCTGCAGTGATGAGTGTCTCACACTGTTGTGAGTGTGTGTGAGTGTGTGTAAGAGAACAAATGTGCCCCTGGCACACAGACGGGAACACAGAGAAAGATTCAATACGCTGCAGTAGAAGCAGTCAGAGCAGAGGAGCAAGGGCTTACTTCTCTGATCCAACTCCTTACAGTGCTCTACAATCCAGCCTAAGAAAGCAGGATATTAGAGGATCATTTCCTTTCAAGAAATGCCTTCAAATTCATGGTTTGCTCGGCTTTTAAAATATTTTTGGTCAGAGAAATTAAGATATCTTTGCTTGCTGGGAAACATATTTTTTATTTGAATGAAATATGATCTTAATCCCTCTTCTGGCATTTAAATAAACACTCATTGGCATAATGGGGGCGCCATAACTAAAGGTCAAATCCTGAACTGTAACAACACATCTGGTGTGGTTTTGAAGAAGCTTGGTATTTACTGTAGAGCGTCCACTGGAAGTGTGAATTGTTGAACTTTAGAGAAGAGGTGAGCCAACTGTCTCCATGTTGCTGCTGCAGCTTAAGGCCCCTACACACCAAGCTGACACCAAAGAACACGTCCCGACGGAACATGACTTGTGTTGCTTCACGTCTCCTGCGTCTTGGCCAACAGTCGCACTGGAACACACCGCAAAGACTTCAGCCGACGGCCAAGTAGTACGTACGCACGTGAGTGCCAATAACTCTCCTTACCAGCAGGCGGCGGTAGTGTGTATTCGTCATTCAAAAGAGGCAACAACCGGAAGACAGACTGCGTGATACAAACTTCAGCTCTCTGAAGCAGAAAGAAACTATTTAAGCATTGTGGCTGGCAAGTACTGCTGCTACCACATTCCATGCATCAGTCATTATAATCCAAGATTATTTTAATATACAACATCATAACACTGACATAATCCAAGATTATATTAATATACAACATCATAACACTGACAGGCAAATTATGTATCATCATGTACATCTGTATCCTCTGACTTTTATTGTCGTATAGCTAATTGTATCCTCATTCTAATGTTGTGTTATCTAATGGCTGTAGTATGTAGGTACGAAATAAAGTTTTTTATTTTGCAGTAGCGGTAAAAAGTGGTTTATTGTCAAATGTAGAACTGTACAATGTAAACAATCGACTAAAATACAATAAGATAAAAATAGTAAGTAATAGGCCTACAATAATAAAAAAAAATAGCCACATCGTCCAGGGTCCTGTCCGTTAAATACTTGAAGAAGCCACCTCATGCAGGAAGTGTGGCAGCAAATTACGTGGCAACTGAGTTGGTCTTCGGTTTATTCATTCCAGATCGCCATGATGTAAAATAAATTCTTGCGTCCAGGTGAGATGAAAATGAAAAATAATAGCCGTCTGTGTGTACCTTCTTCACTTCCGTTTCGCTTCTCATGCACTGATTCGCTAAGCTGAACAGCCAATCAGAGTGATTTATTTTGCCGACAGCCTTTTGCCAACAGCTCCCCGATTCGACATGTTGAATCGGGAGCGGAAGGTATCGTCACGGCCGAAAAGACACAACGGTGCGGGACACACCAATCTGAGTAGGGCGACATGACGCTCATCGACGGCCCGACATCTATCGACATCTATCGACGGCTTGGTGTGTAGGGGCCTTTAAAGTGAAACCTCAGCAGTTAATGAGCAAACGTCTGATGTGTTTTTATGTTTTTTCCTTTCAGAGAACCAGGAGCCCTCGCCGCCGACTAGGGCCCAGATCAAATATGGTGAGATTAAATGTGACGCACAACTCACAATCATCTATGTTTTGGAAATAAACCGCAACCTGAAACTCCTCCATGAGTATTTCTATGTCAGCAGTTCTGTTTTCCTTAATAAACACTTTTTTAAGTTTATGTTGGAAATCAAGCTGACCAGACATTAATTAGCTTTGCTGATTTGATATATAAGATATCATTCTATCATATACCAGTTTATACTGTAAAGTCTGAACTTCGGTGATAACCTCTGCTAGGGCTGTGCAATTAATCGTATTTTAATCGCAATTACGATTTTGGCCTGCCACAATTACGAAAACAACATAATCGAAAAAAACAATAATTTTGCTTTGCTAGGTTGTGACAGTGCACTGCAACATATTTGATCTAATTTATTTTAGTCTAATTTATTTGTATTTATCATATTTATATATGTTTAGTAGCTTGTTGGAGTGCGCTCCAAAATATTTGTTGATCTTGTTTATTGGTATTTATTATTTTTGATATTATTTATTTAAATGTAAATATAAATGTATCATTTAATTTAGTTTTGTATTGGTTTTTCAGTTGAATTATACGTTCAGGGTAATCAACAGTTAAAAAGATACTGTTCAAATTATTATTTGTATTTGTTTTAAAGTTCAATAAATGGATGTTTTCAAAGTCAATGAATAATCGTATTTAATAATCGTGATATCAATTATTGACCAAAAATAATCGTGATTATGATTTTTGCCATAATCGCACAGCCCTAACCTCGGTTCAATAACTAACCTCAACATCAGACTTATCATTTTAAGGCAGAGCTTGCAAGAAAAAAGCTATTTTCAAACCATATTTATCCACAGGGGGAAACTATTGAGACCACCAGGGGTCATGTGGAGTAGGTAATTATTAAAAAGGGTGAAATCCTCGTGCCCTAGAGATTACTAAACAAAGAGAACAGAAACAAAAAGAGTTGGATTTGTTGTGTAAACGGATTAAATCTTATAATCCATTATTGGATATTCATATGGCTTTCAAAATAAAAGTATTGATTTATAAGTATTATTTGTGTAGTGTTTATGTAATATAATGCTGCATGTAATAAACATGCTATATCAGGAACCGTAAATATAAACATAGACTAATAAGTGATAGAATAAAGAAAATGCTATATTATCCTGTATGCTCTATTAGAAACCATAGAGCCACAGCATTGTACAAACTCTTTTCCACAATAGAAGCATGCAGACATTCGTCATATCATCAGCCTCAGCTGTACTTTGTGTTAAGTGCTTATTATCTGATGTTAAAGCTAATATGCTTAGATGGTGAACATGATATGAACCTGCTAGACATCTCAATGTAAGCATTGTGAGCATGTTTGCACGCTGACAATAAGTCCAAGCTCACAGAGCAGCTGGCTTTGATTCTTAGGCTGGTGCCCCACGGGAACGAAAACGGGTTGTATCCGCATATTTCTCTTGCGTATAGCCCTTTTTGCCACACGACGCCGTAACGAAACGATAGAAACGGACCCCGCAAACGACAACGGGTCCAAAGGTGGATAGATCTGGGAACGGAGCGCTCTGGGGGGTCATACGGCTCTGTGTGATCGCCTCTATACGATCATTTTGTGATAATGATGACGCAATAGCCCTGCCTCCCCCACCTCTCCTGCTCACCCCCGCAAAAGTACACTGCACACTGAATTCAGATTATTTATCTTTATCTCGATATGGACATAAACGCGAGTGAGATCTAATCTGACAGGACGGAGACACGCAGCTCCTCCCGCTGTGATGCAGCGGGAGCAAGTCACACACTTCAAGTCAGATCATCACCCTTAGCTATTTTAATTACCTCTCAAACTACCTAAACTAGTTATAAATATGTTTATTTTTTACTGTCGGCCGGGTCACTCATTACTGGATCAGCTGCTGCATGAGACAGACACTGACGCTGTCAGAAGAGAGGAAAAAGAGAGGACAGGCTCCGTGTATTTTATTATTATATATAGTCGTTATTCATTTGTTTTAAAGCTCAACAAATAACAAAGAAGACCTTTGACCGGCACTTTTATAATTTTGTCCGGAAGATTTAAACTTTTACACATGTTGACCGGCGAAAAACTCTGCCCGGTTCCCTCGGCCCCCACCACGGTGAATAAACAGAAGGGCAACCATGACGACCATGCTTCTTCGCTGCTATTTCTGGAGGAAGTTACAGCGCCACGTACAGGCTCGGCATATGTACTGCAGCTTTTTCCAGCGGTTGGATCTAAACGGAGCTGTCTCATGTGAACAGACACTATCCGGTGTATATTGCGTGTGGACGGAAGCTTTTTGGCGATTGCGTTTGCGTTAATCCTATGCGTTTTGCCGTATGCGTTCCCGTGGGGCACCAGCCTAAGTCCAAGCAATATCTCAAAACTCTACTACTTCCTCTCATTAAGTATGCAATACTGTTCAGGCCGGTCTGTTCTGTTTATTCATATACTTTGCATGTATTGAGCTCATACAATTCAACACTTCAATAATCTAAAATGCTTTACGACTTTCACCTCTTCAAAACTTATTTAAAAGTGATCAAAACTGTCATCCTCTTCCTGATTTTAAAAATAGTTAAACACAATTTCTTTCACCTATGTAAATATGTAACAAATATGTTTGAAGTGAACTCATGTGTTAGTGTTAGAAACAGCACATTAAGCTGAAGGATGAACATGATTTCTGCAGTTCCCTGATGGCAAAGTTCAAGAATGAAATGTCAGATTCTGTGTTAATCCTCCTTCCTGTTTGTCTGCAGTTTTGTTCCACAACTGCATCCCCTTTATTGGATTTGGTTTCCTTGATAATGCCATCATGATCGCAGCAGTAAGTGCCTTTTATTTACACAATGATTAAGCTTATTTTTGACTGTAATGAATTGCCTTTATGATGGACAAATGCAAGTCTTCGTCAATGATGTATCTTCTTCTGTCTACCTGTATTCTTTCTAAAACTCTGACTCTGATGAGACCTCCCCTCACTCTCTCCTCTCCTCCAGGGAACACAGATTGAACTCTCTATCGGAGTCACTCTCGGGATCTCCACCATGGCTGGTAAGAACATGTAGAGAATCTGTAGTCAGGTCACCGTGAAATTAAAATTGAGTTTATTATCTTGTCCCAAATTCCATTTATACATATGTTGGTCAAAAGATTTATTATAAATAAAAAAGCCAAACATTCTTTAGTTCCATCTTCTCAAATATATTTGTTTTCTCTTCAAAACATTGAAAAGTGACCTTTTATAAAAACATGTTGTTCACCATAAACCCCTGCTATTGCTTTCATTCAGTATGGAGGTAGATCTGCCTCAGTATTATTTGTGTGAACAGATCAAAAATCTGTCTTTAAATGTGTCATCGGTGATTACTTTCCACAAATGCAAAAAATTATTTGTAAACAAAAAATATTTGGCTTTAATGAATTGTATTAATATAGTTTGCATATATATATAGTCTAGCCTTACCCCTAGATTCCACCGTCTGCGTCGCGTTACGGCCGCGTTATGGCTGCGCTGCGGCGTTCGCAAAGATCGCGGCCACTCTAGTCAATGGGTGCTATTCCACCAGACGCGCCGCGTTACGGCCAGAAGCGTCCCAGAAGCGTCTCGGCGCTCGGCTCCGCTCAAAATAGGATGCAAGTCTATTTTCGACGCGACGCGAGGCGTTGCAGAGGCGCCGGGCAGGAAGTGGACCGGTCAGAGCATCCAGTCAATTCCCAAAATAAACTAATTTTGCAGACCCTATCCCTCCGTAGTCTTTCAAGTAGAAGGAGAAATGCCAGCGTTCTCCTCCGGTTTACAGCCACTGTGTAAATTATATATATAGAATAATTATGATGATGAATGCATTTTTTTACCACTAAAATACAGCAACACATCTTTGATTCATGTCGTTTATAACTGGAATATTACAATTATTATTAACTTTGTCTGTACAAAGTAGCCTGTCCAAATGCCCAAATCAACAAAAACTGCGAGCCGGCAGGCAAGACGCTCCGCTTCTGAAATGCTCCTGAAACGCGCCCGGTAGGGTATGACGCTGGAGGAGGCCGGACCAAAACCGCGGCGCAGACGGACCCGGTGGAATCAAGGGGTTAGGGTACAGCAAACTCATCCTTTAGACTACCCGTCATGTATTGGTTTAGGTGGGTAAAGTTACAAAGCATCAGTTGTCATTTATTAACTAATATTCAGATCTGTGTCAAACTGAGCCCAATTCAGTTAAGTTTACATTTACAGATGACACATTTAGACACAGAATGTCTATCTATCACACAAGATGCACTGTAGCTCCATAATTCAGGCTGTAAGTCACAGTATATTCTAGAAGCGATGCCTCCTCTTCCATCAGCCATCACTAAAGCCATGTTTCTACTTCTAAAGCCTGGCTGATGCCACCAGTTGTATAAAGTTGCACTGAAGAATCTTCTTCAAACTCCTCAGCTGTCCTGGGCACCGCAGCAGTTTCTTGCACACCGCCTGCTGCCATCATGGCTGCTGTTCTGGGTCTCAGGTCAGGTCTTTATTAGGCTGTGAAAACCATAAAGGCACTGGTGCTCGTCTTCTCCCTTTTGCTCAACACTAGATTATTCTGTTTCCATGGATACTTGGCTCCAATTTCCTCTGCAAAGTGCAAATGGGGAAAAAAGGCTCTAGATCAATAGCCCGTCTTTATCCATCCCGGCGCTGCTTCATATTTGTGTCATCACCATCCAGCCTGCAGTGATGCTCAACGACTGATTTGAGAGCAGACCTTTTCTAGCTTTTAACTCTTGACTGCTGTGTCATCATCAGCACTTTACTGCCATATGCAATCAGTCAGAGGTGCTGGTGAAAGGAGGTTGTGAGATTGTATCGCTCTTTCACTTTTCCATCTCACTTCATTGAGGGAAACTTGGACTGAAAACTTCCATCTGGAGCTTTAGTTCCTGCTGGAAACTCTGCTAGCATCCAGCGCTAAGCACCGTTGCTTCTGGTGCCTCCAGAGATCCACTCAAAACAAACACATACGTAACACCTTAAGTTGAACTAACCGTGAACAAATGTAATTTCTTCCGCATTGTCAGCCATCCCCTGTGAAAATCCAAGCCGCAGCGTGAATTATTCACAGCTGCCAAGCGTTGTCGATGTTATACATGAACTGGAATTGTTCTGAAGCTCGTTCTGTTGACAGTCTTAACGTGAAGGCAGATGGAAAAGAAGCTGACTGGTGTCTTGGAGGGTTTCCAAAGGTGCTCTTTTATCTGTGAACATGTAAACACCTTCTCTCACTCCTACTGCTCTCCTCTTGCATTGTGCTGCCACAGTCTATTGTTTGAACTTCTCTCTCTGCTTTTCATCTTCTTGCATATACGCATTCATGTGGGCCCCTTGGCACAGCACATTTTTAGGTACATGCACTTCTTTGTGTGGGTGAGTTTCTTAAATGTTGCTGAAACGTGGGCATTGTATGGACAACACAGGCTCTAGAGGTGGGTAATAGCCTAAATATCAGCCACTTATTTATAGATTAAACTTCAATTACTCCTTGAATCTTTTTTCAGGCACCTGCACAATGGCAACAGACTAATGCAAGTAGGCCAGACATCTTTTTCTCTTTAGACGTCCCCTCTTCCTGGGGGACCCTGATGCTTTTCTAGGCCTGATGGGATATTTCCCAGCTCCCCTCCCGGTTTGACTTTCTTTGGAAACCATCTCAAGACAGTTACCCAGGATGCATCCTGATCAGATGTCTGAACCATCATAGCTGGCTCCTTTCATTGTAACCCGAGCTAATAGAGTGGTGCAGCTAGCATAGCAAGGGCTCCCTTTACAAAAAAACTCAATAGTATTTTTTCATTCGATTTCTAAGTATCGTATAAAATAAGATCTGTGGCAAACACACGTTTATGATACTTGCATGTTTTGTTGACATCACCACTTTTAGGATTTTTGAAGGGTAAATGCAATCGGCAGTAATAAAAAGCTAAAGTTATAAATGAATTGCACCACATTAGTAATGATTTACCAATTTCTGCCAAAAAGTGAAGACATTTTTCTTATTTCAGGCATCCAACCAAAACACGTTCAAAAAACTCGAGACCCTCATGAGGGAGCCCAGAAGTGCTTACATGCTAACTCATATCCAGGCTTTAGGACTCATTCCTGCACCACTCTATTGGGATGTTTGTGCTCTTAGAAATATTTCCTAAAGCACCATTATACTAGTTTCTGTATTTTTGCGATTTAGCGCCCCAACAGTTTCAGAGTGGATTCATTGATGCACCACTTCAGAATATGTGGACAGATCTAACATTACACATGCATTTTTGATGAATCCATTAGAATAGCTAATGAGTGCTTATCTTTGCTAACACAGCCAAACATCAAGCAATTGCCACAACACAAGACAAAGCCAGTCAATATTACGAAGCCAATATCCATTCAACCTAGACCTCAAAAAGGTGCTTTCAATCCCTTTTTAAAAATCAGTAAATTCTATATTTATCATTTGATTGTTATGTGCATTATTTATCTGTCACTATGTGTGTGTTCATCAGAGAACAGCAGACATCAGAGTGTTCCCTCTTTGTGTTTGTGCAGCTGCTGCGTGGGGAACCTGATTTCAGATCTGGCCGGTCTCGGGTGAGCAGCATTATGAACGCTCTGATGTGTGTTTTGTTAAGGTAGATGTGTGAAGTCTTTTGAAGGAAGGTGCTTCAAGGTACACTCTGTGTTTGCTGCATTTGAATTAAAATAATGAACTGAGGTTTCTTTGTGTTCTTGTTAAATCAGGTGGGATTTGAGTTGTTACTACTTATAGTTTTTCATTTTCATCTCATCTGCTGCTCTATCTTTACACATATTAATGCTTGAGTTTATTTTATTTTTATACTTTGTTGTTTTGTCTCCAGGAGAACGACTTTGTTTTCCACCTTAAACCCGAGGACTTTTTTTTAGCTACATTTTAACGGTAGTTTTAGTTTCTGCAAATGGTTTCAAATGAGGGAAATGATTGGGATGGTTAATGATTTTTGTCAATAACTCTCTACACAAATATGTTAACCCAAATATGTGTGCATGCAGTCTTGCAGGTTATGTGGAGGTTCTGGCGACCAAATTTGGGATGCAGGGTCCAGAACTGACGCCCAAACAGGCGGACATGTGGCAGACCAGGGTCAGCTCACACATGGTGAGAAACTCATTCATTTATAGCAGCTAAATAACATCTAACACATGTATTGTAACTGAATTAAAAATGTTCCATGAGAAATAGTTATACAAATATTACAAGGAAAGAAAAATCAAAATTTGAGAAGGTCAGACAATTGCAATATGTGCATCTCTAATTTGATGACTTCAACACAAAGCCAACAATTAGGAGATGACTACAAGGAACAAGTAAGTAGTGTTAAATGGGATAACATGGAACAAAGGTCCCGTGCTGGAGTTGAAGGGCTGATCTTACAGTTTAACCTCAAAGGCAGTGTGCTCGGATTAGTTTCTTCTGTGAGGCACATCAAAGGAAATGTTTTAAAAGGAGAATCCACAGACGAGAGGTACGAAAAGAGAGGATTTGAAAAGCGGAGTAAGATCAAAGCTATCAAAAACTCATGTGGAGATAACTTCAAAGTTAGCAGCCCTGAAAAGGACTCTATTCTGCACACTGAAACCTGTCTCTGGAGCTGATGCTGTGCTTCTCCTCTGTAGCACAGCTATCTAATGGCGCATTTCCACTACACGGCCTCGCTCGGCCTTGCTCGGTATGGCTAGGCCTCGTTAGGACTGGCTCACTTTATGGCGCATTTCCATTACAGTTTAGGAACTGGGGTAGTATCTATAGCGGGGGTCGGCAACCTTTTTGATATGAAGTGCCATTTAAAAAAAAAAAAAAAAAAAAATGTATCAGCGTGCCAACGATCGAGAATTATCAAGGGTGGGGTGGGGTGTTGAGGATGTTGAGGAGCTTGACGCTCGTGATCTATCAACAGGAGGGCGGGGGGGGCTCGCTGCGGGGAAGCAGTGTGTGGACCTGTCAGCGCAACTTACAACTTACATGATACCGAATTTAACAAACACATTTAAATAATTGGTTTAAAAGGCATAATAATCTGTGATTCTCCAGAACACACATGTTATGATATTAGGGTCATGCAGAGTGAGATGAGATCGCTGTCCCTTTAAGAGAGAGAGAGAGAGGGGTGTGGCGTGTGCATGTGTGTGTGTGGATGGTAGAGCGCTGAGCGAGAGTGAGCGAGAGTGTGTATGTTTCTGGAAGTGAAACGAGGCAGCAGAAAAACAGAGGTCTGTGATGTATTTTGTGAAACAGAAGAACAGCTAAATAAATGCAACGGCCTCCCAAGAAGAGCTCGCCTCTCTCCAGTCATTCTGTTCCACTCTGAGCCTGTTTTTCAGGTCTCAGGCTCGAAAATGACATTCCCAGAACAAATGACCATATCTTCCCTTCTAAAAGGGTTAAATTAATAATCTTTTCTCAAAGTAATGATAAACCTGTGAGTTGGATGTAGAAGTGTCAGAATCAATATAAATGTTTTTTATTTTAAAGAAAATTCAGATTTTACATAGTAAAAAACTGTAAATTATAGTGTCCGTCCAAAAATTATTTTTTACAGATAGTGAAAACTACCCTTGGATGATGGGTTAGTAGACTAAAAGCTTTAGGAATCCAAAGTACAACATATAATAAGTACCCTGTATCAAGATTGATGCAAAACAAGTGAAATTTGACCTTTTTAGAGAGATTTAGCCAAAAACTGGGCCATCTGGGGTCATTTGGGTGGATTTGACCTATCTCTGGCCCCCCTTGCTCGATCTGGTTGGTTGACATACCCTTGTGACCGTTAGAGCCAATAGAATCGAAGGAGGAGACTCACATACACATACATTATAAAGAAAAAATGTTGCCGCTTCGCGTGTGGAAAGCGAAACTAAACTGGAGGAATGTCTCCTTCTGGAGTTTGGAAACTAAAACGCAGTTGTATTGCTTATGGATTATCAGAAATAATTTCAAAGAAGGCACAGACACATAGGATGAACCTATGGATTAACTGCAGCATCGTTTTTTTATCGTTTTAATGCCATTGAAGACCACTTTTGACCAAGGTGAGCCATATTTACATGTTTAGCTTCTTGGCTCCACATGTGATGATGTACGCTTTCGTTGATAGCGTCGCGAATGTTTATCACTGAGTGTTGAGGTGGGCACCGTTAGATTCAGTGTCTCCAGGACACCAAAAAATAGTGTTTGGTTGTGCATCTAGGATAAGTAATAAGGGAGTTCTGAGTGAGTTTATGTGCCTTTGTCGGTCCCGTTTTTTCGATCGAGGCTAATTCAGAGGCTGAGTGCTAGCATTGTGGGTTTTTTTTGAAAAAAAAAATTAAAAAGATCAGTTAGCTGAGTTTCTTCCCGTTACATGGATATAACACATTCATAGTTTTATTCAATATTAAGATTCCTTAGACGTTGTTTCCTGCAAATGACGCGTTTATCCGCCCGGTACCGGGGGGAAGGCGTGAAACAGGTTGTTAAGCTAAAGTGGGTTATTGAACCTGAAGCTTGTTGCTTCTGCCCTCCTCGACTACGGTCTGGGAGCCGACAGGAAAGTTCAACACACAGATGGCCAGTCCGCCCCTTTGTAGCATATTATTTCAATGAGAGATGAGCAGATCGCCACTGGGCTTTCAACTAAAGACACAGCCACGCAAAAACTGCGACATTTGTAAAGCTCCTTATGGGTACTGCAATTTGTGAAGTGCTTTCCTCTGTGGTGAAACGATCAGCCCTGCACCACGGAGGAAAGCGGCAGAAAGTCACCTGGAGTTAAACAGAGCGGGGCTGCGCTGCGTGCATGGCTTCCTTCTGCAGGTAACGGGGAGACGCGCTCTGGCGGCGGTCTCGTTCAGGATCCGAAAAATACAATTTAAATATTTTGCACACTTATTCCACTTATTCCTAGTGTGCCACTGGTTACGGTGCCGCGTGCCAATGCTGGCACGCGTGCCAGGGGTTGCCGACCCCTGATCTATAGTAACGCAGTGTAGGCGGAGCCGTGACGTCATCTTCAATGAGAACCCCAGAAACACAACACAGCCGTTAGCTGTTAGCACTCAGAGCTCACAGCTCCTTATATCTGTTCAGAAACTAGACAAAAGTTAAACAAGTACAAACCACAGACTGTCTGTGTCATGGTGAATACAGTCGCTGGTTTATTTATGTCTGTATAGGCCGTTGTTGTGAGTGTGGACGGTCGGAGCATATACTGCGTTAGCTTAGCCAATCTCCATTTAGAAAACACGCATTTTAAAAGGTTTTTCGCCTGCCGTCTGTCTGCAGACTTTTCAAAGCATTAATTCATGGTTTTTACTAACCGGTATCAGTATGTTGTTACTTCGGCATCATTTTGAAACGTGTATTACAATTAAATCACGGTCAAATATGTCCATCTTGTTGTAGTTGTAGCCCCCTTGCCAGCGATGCTCTCTCTAGTTTAGCATACTCAGCCCGACTCAGCCTCGTTGTCTCTGGCCCTAGACCCACGATTTTATGAGGCCAGAAAAACTGTGAATTAGGACCCGCCGGCCGGTACTAGGCCAAGTGGAAACGCAACCAAAGACGGGCCGCTGACGTCACAGCCCTCTTAAACCGTGCTCCGCGCTGTAATGGAAACGCGCCATAAGATGCTAACAGGCTGCTCTGTCTGAAGACATGTAATACATCGATTTGACTCTAGGTCTGTGGGTGAAGGTTATTTTGACTCAACATGATGATATCATTTCCTCCTCTCCTCCTGCAGGGTAAAGCCATCGGAGTGTCCATCGGCTGTATCTTGGGGATGTTCCCGCTGTTCTTCCTGGATGATGAGGACAAAGAGAAAGCACAGCCCCGCATAGACACAGTGTCACCGTCTTCATAAGCAGCCACTACACTGCACACTTACAGACTGGATACTGCTGATGTCAACTTTAAAAAAAGAACAAGTATTTACAGCTGGATGTTTCTCTGTCTTCCTGCTCAGGCGGCGTTCACCCCTCTTCAGTCTGTAAACCAGTTCAAGCTGTTTGTGTTAGCTGATGAGATTCAGTTCACAAGCCCTTGTAGCTTCTTCCTAACAACAAGCTGTGTTCACTGTCTGCTCAATCAACACATGCCATCTGTTAACTCAACATGTCAATACAATGGGTATTCTCTCATTTCAATTCACACATTTGACATGTTGAGGGACAGAGGCTCCAGGGACCCATCATCCATTCTTCTTTTTCACCGTGAGAAAACAAGCTTTTATTTCAAAGGAACAACCTTTTATTTATTTATTTACATAATTGTAGTAGACACTTTCAATAATAATATTGAATGAGCCTGTCTCAAGCACTTTTCAAATCTTACATTTTCTTAAACAATTATATTATTTACATATCTGATTCAGGTCTGTTTGATCTGTACAGCATAGCACACTCTGTCCTCAGACCCCTCAGCAAGTAAGGAAAGCCCATCCCCAGTACTAACAAATACATCACTTTTGGTGGACGCTGCGAAACAGCTTAAACTACATTCAGCCTGTTTCTGTTCTTATCCAATCATTAAAAAGTCAAACATTTTCCCCATTAGTTACTTAAACACAAAGAAATGGTGGAAATGAATCTGATGAGTCTCAGCGTGGATTCATGCTCTCTCGTCAGCAAATACTTTAATTACACGCGTGCCAACAAACTCACTTAAATACAGTTTCCTCGTCAATAACAGGGCCACCAGCTAACTTGTTAGTACCGCAGCAATTTCATGTAAACTTAGATTCTTGCATTCAGTGTAGTACTGTGTGTACACATTCTAATTGGTGAAAACGGCACCACTTACCGGATCAGTGCTCTGCATTGGCAGATTCCTCAGTATATGAATCCATATCAAGGGGGAGGAGTTACCGATGCAGAACGCTTCAGCCTTCTTAGTCCCAGCCTGAGATCCACTAACTGGAACCTTTGTCCCCTGTTGTTAAGAGCAATCGATAGTGTAGATTAGAAGCTCATTTATTCTTAGAAATGAAAAGATTTGGTTGTCATTGGAAACCAATGTGTATTAAGTCCCAGTTTTTGACACAGATCAAATAGCCTTTGTGAACGCTGCCTGTGCGGCTCTCAGGATGGGAAGTGCTCACAACACCTGCACACTACAGCTGGTTCAAATATCAGCCACAGCAGGTTCATAATAATATTCTTTATTAGATCCCCTCCTCTTGTCCATAGAGGGGTGTGAGTTGCCATCACACAGACACATCCAGGTGTGAGGGGTCCCATCCTGACGGTAGAAACATACAGCTCATGTTCAGGAACACTACTTCACGCTCAACAGACAACCTGAGGCTCGTGTCCTTTTTATTTTGAACTAACTTGTAAAGCAGTACATGGAATATGTTGGGACACTTTATACACAAACCATTTTGGGTCCAAAAAAGGAAAGCGTTTCTCAACGTTCGACAGTGCCCACTGCTACCTCCATGGGAATATGTGTCTGTGTTTTGCATGAAGAACTGATGGAGCTCTATAATCAAATGTTTCCTCGTCAGATGGTTTTTAATATCTTCAAATGTCTTGTACAGGTTGAAGGAGGATCAGTGGCGAGGCTCTGAAACTGAAGTTGCTCATTTCAGTTTTGGGCTTTACTCTTTGTATTCCAAGGTCTTCTTTGTATCTCTGCTTTTCTTTCCGCTCCATCTTTTCTCTTATTTCTCTTAAGGACGCTTGATTTGGATCCAGCCATCTGTGTAACGCTTCTCCTCTTAGGTTTCTGCTCCATCAGACTCGTAGCTGCAGATGGTTGGATTTGCCTCAAACAATAAGAGCGTGCAGTCTAAAACGGTCTAGCATATACCACGAGTCACTTCAGTAGGTTTTATTGATTTCTACACCTCAGACCTTGTCTTTTTAAAATGTGTAATCTGTCTCTCTGTTTGCTTCTCTCTCACTCCAGCTTTCTGCTCTTATTCAAGGTGCTTTTTGTAAATACAGTGAATCCAATTGATCCTTTTGCTGGCTGCATCTGAAACCAATCCCTATTCACTCCTTATTTCAATTTCCATTGTGTAATGGTGCAACAGAATATTATTTTCACTTTTGATTTTTATGGATCAACAATTATTCATTCTTTGAATCAGAAAAGAAGAAAAATAAATGTTGGGGATCCTAGACAAATTCTAAAAAATATCTTGCCTTAAAAAAAGTCTTAAATTCTAAATCCTCACATTTTAGAATGGCACTCCTTTATGTAATATGTATGCACTATCATTTGCTCTAAAAATATCCCACAATGCATCAAAACAAAGTAGAGTCCACGGCAATTATTATTATTATTTTTTTTCCTAAATAGCAAAGCCTAACATTTGATAGATGCTTAAATAACATGTCTACCACACTACTGCTGATGCATGATGTTTTATTGTCCCATAAATGAATGTTGAAATGGAATTTCATGCGTAGCTTTCCCCCAGTATTCCTGATTACTACATATTCAAAAGGAGAGAAATACTGCTTATTAGTCTACATAAACGCATCAACTATAGTTATATTGTTGCACACAATTGTATAATCATTTAAGAGCGGTAACATTCTGGTGTTGCTAATGGGAAAATATGTATTTATTTGTTGCCTTATTTCCTCTTTGCGGTAACATGAAGGGTTAACCCATCAGTGCATGAGTGACTGAGGGAGGGGTTTCAGACTCGCACCACACTTTGTTTCTATGAACCCTCAACTGGCTTTGACACTAGCAGAGCACACCGGTCAGGAGGAAGGACAGCAGGAGTTATGCTAATGCCTTGAAAGGTTTGAGAAAGGCCTAAACTCTAAAATGTTGTGATATTGATTGTGATGCAGGGAGGAGACGTGTTCATCTTCAGAGGGATGAGGACACGCATCCTCAAATGAAAAAGGAATTAAGTGCAGGAGATAAGGAATATTGGGAAATAATCGAACCTCTGAGTTCAGACTGACTGGAGACAGAAATGTTTAACAAATATTGTAATGAGTGTTTGGATTCCGCTGCAAAACATATTTAACTAGTTTGAAGAGATTTATCGTGCAGAACAAGAAGCAATATCTGTTTGAATCATGTGCTAAATAAGGAGTAACTAATTAATAATCAATGTTCTCAGACACATGAACTTGAATGTTTTTGTATCATCTCATGTTTATATCACGTTGTGTAATGTTTTCTAACAGGATGTTCAGGCCTGTGGTGAACACATTTGATTGTTTTGTATTCCTCTAGAGATTTTGAAGCACATGAACAAAGTATAACCTCTTAATGAATGCTGTGTTGTGCTGCCATCTTGTGGACCAGCAGCTGTGCACTGATACGTGTATGTACTCAAGCCAGTCATGTGGAAGGACTGATTATACAGTATGCATTGTGGAACATAATGTGCAATTTAAACTCACGTAATAAATTTGGGAGTGTTACCTCTGACTCTGCAGGTTGTGCTGAAGCTCTGTTTGTCTTCTCATTCGTCGCTGAAGTGCTCTCCAGCAAGGCATCGGAACTCACTAAGGAAGGCTGAGGGCAGCAGATCTGAGGTCAGATTGTGTACGACTGTCACATAACACACATCCACAGTACTGCATATTAAAGTGGACCTATCAGGCTATTTTTAGGCAATAGCATAGGTCTCAGATATATAAATATATATATAAAAGACATGTCTATGAAGTGTTTTGCTCAAAATACCAAACAGATCACCCATTCTAGCCATGCCTCATATCCCTCTATTTCACTTCCTGTTTCAAAAGTGCTGATTTTGGGTATAAAGCTTTAAAAAAAAAAAAGGGGAAGGGGCTGAGCTCATGCGGGACCCGGCAGCTACTGTCTAAACTAAATACTGCCGTGATGAAACTCCATATCATGGATTATCAAGGATTATTTCTGAAACAGTATGGAGCTCAAAGGCTTTCTCTCTTGCCGGTTATACCACAAGGTGAGTTCCTTTTTATTTCCTGCTTCTTCACACACATGCTCTGTGCAGTACAGGTTAGCTCTGAGTGTTAGCAATGCTAATGTAAACACCGACCATATTACGTCCAAAACAGTCGGGCATTGTTTCTGATTGGGAACAATGCCCGACTGTTTTGTAAACAGGGTGTAAAGCCAGCCTACATTTCCGATATTACGTCATATCGGATGCAAATCTGGATCAGCTCCGTTGTAGCCCCGTTTTTAGAGATTTGGGTACAGAGGAAAAGAGAGAGGGTTTTATTTTCTGACGCTGCGTGAGTTCCCTGACACACCGGGGACACATATTTATGTATAAAAGACATCAAAAAGTGCATTTTGCATGATAGGTCCCCTTTAAAGACTCTAAAAGGTTTTCTTGATCAGCTCCTTACTTGAAATGATGGGATCAGAACCAGGTTTAAACATATTAGGTATTAGCTTCGGTGTTTGGTGGTGCCAACATAAACACATTAAAAGGAAATACATTTTAAGAGAAAAAATAGAACAATTACAAAAACGATTTAATATGAACAAATAAAGAGAAATATTTACAAAGAATATAAATTAAAAAGTGAGATTATGACAAAATACAGTTTGTGCATTTATTATTTGAAATGTCATATTAATCTAAATAAATCATATACTAATTACTGCTATTGTTTTTTTTATTTGCTTACTATTAATCTAATCTTTTCAAATTGTGCCCATACAGTGCTGATGAAGTGTTTTAGATTTGCGTGTCAAAAACAGCATTTAATACTAACTTCAGGTTTTCTTCCCACTAAAAGGGAAACATCACAACATCACAAATAGATGTTGCTCTTTCTTACCTGTAGTTCTATGAATGTAAATACAGTGTTTAATGTGAGTAACAGAGTGTTGGAGATATTGGTCTGCTCACTCTAATCAAATATGTCATTTGGCTTGTGGTGCACAAATAGCCCAGAAAATGATTATGAAAAGCCAAATCACTTATCAGAACTTCATTTAGGAGCTGTTTACGTATAAGTACATCTAGCATCCTCATCACTGCGCAGAAGGATGTGCTCCAACACCAAAACAATCCAAAGAAAAGCACTAAAGCTACTGTAAGAGGAAACATCCCTTTAAAGTTTAGTTTTTGTTTATTCAGTCATGAGTTTCTTAGTGACCTTTGCTAAAATATACTTTCTGATAGTATTGCTGATGTGATAGCCACGGTTTGGGTACTGTTTCCAACATCATTCTGCTTATTGAGGCTCAACAGAAGTTACAACAAAATAATCAGTATTGTGTAGACACTCCTGTTTTTCTGTAAAGCGACCTTGGGTCCCCTGAAAGTTATTATTATTATTATTAGACTTTAAACTTTCCAGTAAAAGCATATCAAACATATTTTTATTTAAATTATTATTCCAAGAATGTTAGACAACAAATCAATAAATGACTTTCTCCACTACCTCTAAATACAACACATGACTAAGTTCAATGTAAGATTATATCTGTCTGTCTTTTTAATGAAGGCTCTCTAATTCAAATATTCCCACTTCCCCCCCCCCCCCTACATTAACCCGGAGCCTAATCTCAGGTCCTGCCCTAAACAGCCTCCTCAAAGTGTTCTCACTTCATGAACTCTACTCTAACTATACAAAAGTATTGCCAGTCCCAAAACATCTCTTTGTTGACACATTACATTTGTATTAGGATAAAAAAAAAAACACACTTTCCGTTACTTCTACAACCATCTTACATAATGTTCTTACTAAATCAATCGTCAGGCTGAGCTCTTTCTGCTTACACTAATGTACAGATTAGAGTGAATGGCAGGAGAGAATCATGTTAACCCTTTACATATGTTTTTGGCTTTTTTGTTCAACAGGTCTTTATTTAAGAATTGAATAACAACTGACTCTAAAAGTATTTTCTAAGTTTATAAATTGACACACACAATACTGTATATCTCACTACAATTCATATCTGTTGGACAGAAGTTAAACGGTAATCTATTAATATAACAATCCATAAGCTCATATTTAAACTAAATGTTGCCTTCTCCAGCCTTGGGATATATCATTTAATTGAAAAAGTAAACTACAATACAGATCAGTGGCATGTTGGAGAGTAAGGAAAAAACAAAACGCGTTCCAAGTCATAAGATGCACATCGTATGCTACGATTTTATTATTTAGCCAAAACAGCGAGTATACATAGAAAACAGGAGACAGTTAGGATCCAGGAAGTGAGCATCAAACACAAACACAGGGTCCTCAGAGCCAGAGGGAAAGGAACAGGTCGCCCAGTAAGAAAATAAAAAACATGACTTTAGAGACAGGTCTGTGTGTGGCAGTAACAGAGAAGTCTGATGCCTTCTGGGTAATGCAGTCATTTGTTGTTTGGGGCTTTAATACTTTACTTCCTATTAGTCTCAAATGATGTCCCTTGATCTCCTCCTCCAAACTCTGTGGCCCTCAGGTTTTAATAACAAATGTCTTGGCTCAGCCGTTGGAAAGGTGGTAATGACATCCCCCAAAACTGTGATCATGTAACATAACGCCCCACCCAACACCATGATACTGTATGTTGGAACAGGATCTACTTTTCATTTCAAAACTGCTCATTCCCACTTACACTCCCAAACGTTATAACATCATTTTAGAGTTTACGTGAAAAGAAGGAAGCTGCATCAAGTCACAACTTCTCCCACATGTTTAATATTTTACCTGTGAAACAAGTAGTTCAAATGAAACGGTGAAAATACAAACCCAGGGCATCATTTAGCATATACTGTAGGAAATTTGGCAAATTGACACACGCACACACACACACACACACACGACTGGAAGTGTTTCTGATCTAACTTTATCTGGCCAGATATTCTCAAGTGGCTCAATTTTGTCAAATAATTTGACATTGAGAATAACTTATTTTACTAATGGGTTTGATGGTGAATCACTTCTGTACTCCTCGGTGTGTGTTAGCATCACACACAGTTACTGAGTCCTGACAGGCTGGAACATTCAGCTTCATACGCTTTTCATCGCGTCAGCTACACGATTGTATTGGTTAACCTGCGTTGGAAAATGAAAATGGATATAAAACAGACAGGCTTCAGTCTTCATCCAGGGAGTCAAACTGCTGTCACACTACATCTGAAACATTTCTGACCCCTGTGGGGAAATGCAGCATCAAAAGACGGCCTCTAAAATGCATCTAGTAGAAGAAAAAGTAAAGGAAAAAATGTTTCCAGTAGAAAAAAGCAGACCATTAAATCCTTTGTTCAACTAAAAAAGACATGCATATTAAATACACTTGGTAATATGTTTTATATGCTCAACGGGACAGGTTTTGAGTTTTAAAAACGTGTAAAGCCACAGAAACATGAGTGAAAACAAATGAATAAATAATTGGACTTGTGATGGCACTCTATCAACAGTAACTATTCATTAGCAACAGGGAAGGTTCATCTACTCCAGCTTGGTACGATAATCACCCACTGACACAAGTTGGTTCAACTCATCGGGCTATTTGACATCTAGTAATACAAGCCGTTACAGGGTTATATATTTGTCGCAGTTGTACATGAATATCAGTGAACAGCAGTAGTTGTAACCGTCTGTTTGAACAGAGGATTCTCAGTGGGGTCAGAGGTTGAACCATCTGGAGCCATGATGGAGATCTGGAGGAGAGAGGTGTATGGATCTGATAGCTAACAGACTTTGTTGTACTGCATCTGGACTATGTTCAGTATTTGTTTGAACGTGTGTAGGGGCGGCTGTGGCTCAGTGGATAGAGTGCTGGACTTTGAATCAGGGGGTAGCAAGTTCGAGTCCCACTGCAGTCAGCATGTCGTTGTGTCCCTGAGACACTTCACCCCAAAATGCTCCTGTGGGGATTGTCCACAGTACTGAGTATGTAAGTTGCTTTGGATAAAAGCGTCTAACAAATGACATGTAATGTAATGAACGTTACAGTGCTGAATAATACTACATTGGCTAGTGTCGAAATTGGTTTATTTAAACAAAATAAATATTTAAATACCAAAATTATAAATAATAGAAATTCAGTGTCTTTGTCAACATTATAATTACTTACTTATTAAAAAGGTACAATTCTAAATATTATTAATTAAAAGCACTCACTATGTAGAATGGTTCATTTCAGCATCAATGATTGTGGGTAGCTAGAAGGGAAATTCTCAAGTACAATTTTGTACAGAACTTGAGTACATATACCAAGTTTGATTCCCCCACTGTGTACAATGCTAGCAGCAGGACACATGTAAGATGTCCTTTCAACTAAAGACCTCCATCGTGGCTGCCAGTCTCAAACCCTTGATGAACTCACTTCAGGACTAAAGCAGGCTGAATTGAATACTAGTTTATATGTCCTACCTGTTTCCTTTCCAAGCAAATGCACACTTTATAGTGGTGCCTGTATCGGGAAAGTGAACTAACAGTTACTGAATTTCATATTTTAGTATCGCTTGTAGTACAAAATATACTTTTTATGATTGATGATCCTGTCATTTGTTCTCCCAACCATCAACACATGTCAGTACATCCATGTTGCTTGTGCCAGCCTGAGACTGTTGGCAACCCCTCATTAAAGGTGTCATACTTATAACATGCTGTAATCCAGATAACTGCAGCACACTCTCCCAATGCTAACCTCATCCACAACTGTTAGCATCTGAGCAAGCTGAATACTCCTCAGCACACTGGCTTCTCTACAGACCAATACACTGATCCACATTACTCTGATTACTATAGTAGTATGCTAACACAACGTTGCTACGTAGCTGGTAGATTAGCAACATGTTAAAGGTTGAACAGGCACAGAGGGGTTAGAGAACCTGGAGGCCAACAACGTGTCACATCCTGTCTGTCTGCAGGAGTTCTTTCAAATAGTTGTTATAGCTTTCATCTATTTATTTAATTGAAATGTATACATCTTTTTGCACAGCTAACAGCAGACTTCATCTAGCACGTTGCAGGCTCCACAGTTCCTGATGTGCTACTATCGACACTGAGTATATCCACTGCTGGTACTACACATCATTTAGAAGCTGATTGTGTATACTGGGGCACACTTTAAGAACATGCAGGTTCATCTACTGACGGTGGCTTTAATAACTGTACCACATTAGCTGTGAGGGGTACACACCACTTTAATATGGTACCCTAACATATACAAATACTTTCAGTTTGTGTCAATGCTCAATTCTTCTGTCAGTCACTCTTTATTCTCTATGTTTATACAGACAAACAGAATCCAGCATCATTTCATTTAAATAGAGAATATTTAAGTTAAATTCAGCCCACAGGCTTTTTGGCACCTTCAAGTGAAATGGGAGACTATGGGGATGTAAAAGGAGCGAATGACGAACAAAAAGGTACAAACACACGGAAATATTAATATGTACATACAAATAATGATTTGATCTTTTGAAAATACTCCATCACACCTTCCAGCTCGCTGTTACCACTTCCACTTCTTTTCCTTCATAACCTCTTGTCCTTCCTTCCCAATACTACACACATTAACATTTACGTGATGTTTCATTAATTCATTTTTGCTACAAGAATCTTCTTGTACAACTCCTTACACAAGGATGTCCTTTCACATCTTTCCTCTTATGTACTGAAGTTGCCCAGGGGAACTGATCTCGGATCAGCACCAGTATTCCTCAGTCAAGGGCAATACTGACAGTTTTAAACCTTGTAGGGGAGAAGTGCTTCAGTCAGGTAAATGTGGCAATATGGTGGAATTCTTGGCCTGAACAACACCATTGATACATTGTTGTTGGATCAATTCTAAATCTGGAAGAGAAACTTGAATATTTTACCCAAATGAGTTTGATAGATTCCCTTTGCATCAGTTAGCAGAGAGATATCAAACCATCTACATAGGAGCTCTGATACCTAAAACCCTGTTTGGCAAAAGGTGATGGTGGCAATTTTTCAGCTCATTTCAGCATGATCAAATATCCCTCAGAAGATGTTTTGAGTCATTTCAAATCTGATCCTTGATCAGTGTCGCGAGGCAACTTCCTCCTATCCTCTGCGTCCATTGATGTCAAAGTTGTTGATGTTTACTTTAATTAATAACCATTTAAGAGTCCCTCTAAGAGCATCTTTGCTAAACGCAGCCAGGTCATTGGCTGAGTCCCCCTCAGAGTCTCAGTAAATGCTCGGAGCTGACCGGTCATTGGTGGACGTCCTCTTCAGCCTGACGCCTCGTCGGATAGCCACCAGAAAATCCTCCACCTCGCTGCTCTCCGTCTCCTCCAGGAGCTCCGGGAGAGGCCGGCGCTCCCACTCACACATCCGCCCCCCGGGCTGTGGTGGGGGGTCGGGGGGGTCCGAGCCCTCACTCAGGTGCTGGGCCTCCCAGGAGCCGGACCTCGGGGACAGGGGTCCGCTGCAGCCTGGGGACAATGGTGTGGTGGGGGGGCTGAGCGGGGTTCGTGGAGTGTTTCCCTCCTCTGACGCCGCTCTGCTGGGGAAGCCGGGGTGGTCCGGCACCGTGGGGGTCTTCACTGGGATCATGGGAGGCTTGATGGGGATGGGGCCCAGGTTGAGGCCTCCGGAGGGCCGTCTCAGGTTTGGTTTGGAGGAGGGCGTCCGGCGGATGGTGGCGACCCCTGGGGTGATGATGGAGGAGGGGTTGCAGGGCAGCCCAGCGGTGGAGGCGGGCCGTTTGGACTGGAACATGCGGCGGTAGGACTGAGTGATGTCACTGTTCCTGGGGACGGTGCAGGATTTATCAAAGTCCTGGTGCTCCCCCTCCTGGTCCACCCCCACTGAGTAGTAGTCACAGTCTGACACTGGGGGGGGGGGGCACAGAGCTCTGTTAGTCACCTCACTTTTAATTGACTGACTACTTTCTTATGACATATTATGACTTTCTTATGACATACAACAATATCATATTTATAATAAAATATCTTCTGGATGTACCATACCATTTTTTGAGTACTGTTTTGGACATGCTTTACTGTGTTTGTTTTTATTTATATATTTTCGACATACTACTACATAGTTTTACATACTATATTTGTAATTATCCCCTTCATTTCTGACACACTATACCACAGCTGTGTGTGTGTGTGTGTGTGTGTGTGTGTGTGTGTGTGTGTGTGTGTGTGTGTGTGTGTGTGTGTGTGTGTGTGTGTGTGTGTGTGTGTGTGTGTGTGTGTGTGTGTGTGTGTGTGTGTGTGTGTGTGTGTGTGTGTGTGTGTGTGTGTGTGTGTGTGTGTGTGTGTGTGTGTGTGTGTGTGTGTGTGTGTGTGTGTGTGTGTGTGTGTGTGTACACACCTTGAGAGGGGATGGTGTCCTCTGAGCAGCAGGGGGTGTGTGTCTGGCTGCTGTACCCACTGGAGCCCTGCAGGGAGTCTCTGCTGGAGCCGCTGATGTCCAGCTGGAGGCCCCGGGCCAGGGCGCGGGCCAGCTCCTCGTGGGCCTCCCGGTCCTCCTGCAACATCACACACACACATTTGTAATGTCTCCCACTGCTCCTCTGGATTTGTTTTGCGTCTCTTCCCGTCAGATCACTTCAGTTACCAAGTTTCTATCTAATCAGACCTGTGTTGACCCTTTTTATTGAAATGAACAAAGTCTGACCTTGGCCGAGATCCCAGAGGGGCTCCCTTTAACCTCTCCTGGGGTGAGGTCAGCGCTGTGGTGGCTGCTGGGATCTGTAGTCTCCTTCCTGTCCTTGGTCCTCTTCAGGGTGTTCACCATGGACTGTTCATAAGGGCCCGGTTTGGCCCAGTCCTACACAGAGACCAGAGACAGTGCAGTGTTAGTTAACAAGCCACTGCAAACGGAACCATTGTCAGTCAAATAGCACATCTGTATCTGCTGGAATAAAACAAGATTAAGAGAGAATACAAGGCAATATAATTAACCTTTCTGGTTCAATTATTACAAAAATTAAGACAAACCAAAATTAGGATTCAATAAATGTGTATTTACAGACCACAGATCAGTAAAACCCTCATTTAGAAATGAGGAGAATTAGGAGAAATGATATTTGAGTGAAGAGAGAGGCTTTCTGTAATGTGTAATAGTTGTTTTAAGGTCTGCTTGTAAATCATGGAGCTGACAGACTAATAAGGGAATCATATAACACACAAAAGCAGAACTAAAGTACTATTGAAGAGAAGAAGAGAAGAAGACACTGTAATGATGAGATGAAACACATCTGAAGAAAGAAGGGAAAACAATGAAGGAGGAGGCCGGGGGGGCAGAACGAGGGTCAAACCTTCCAGGTGGGGACTCTGGATGAGTTGTACACTCCGGGCCCCGAGGGGCCGAGAGGCAGGCACTCTCCTGATTGGCCGGAGCCTGAGCGAGACCAGGGCCACGTGGGGGAAATGGACGAATAGGAGGGCGAGGAGATGGGGGAGGTGGTGGTGGAGTAGGTGAAGTATGGAGGGTGGAGGTGGGGGGGGTCCTGGGCCTGCAGTACCAGTCCGTGCAGACAGAGGGCAGCGTGATGGTCAAAACCATTTGACAACTGAAGGGGGGGGATGAGGAAGAGGAAGAGACACAATGCACAAATTAAAAAGGTGAGGGTGAGGACTGTTGAGGATGTGAAAACATGAAGAGGAGGTGCTGCATGGAGCAGGAGCAGGTCAGGGACTGTTCAGAGATCTGTTGGAGGTGCATGTCAGCCTCTGCTAAGGCTCACAGGCAGACATGATCAGCTCTCAGGACCAATCTTCTGAACTGACTGTTCCCACAATCCAAACTGAACATGGGGACTCTCTGTTACTCTTTGCTTTAAATGACTTTAAAGTCTGTTTCCCCTGTTTTCATTTTGTGTTCTTCTGATTGTTTATTCTTTCATTTTTATTTTAGGTTATTCTATTTACCAAACAGCATTATGTCAAATGTTGAATGATGTGTCAGGAGACTACTAAATCTGACACGCCTCGTTTTCAAGAACTTCTTCATCCAAATCCATAATAATAAGTGGATCTGATCAAACGTGTGATATACTGAATGGAGGTTTCTGCTGTTATACAAACATCAGTGTAATAACCCTGATGCTCCAAAGCTCCATGTGACACCTTCACACACAACAACAACAACAGCAGACCTAACACACCTTAGCAAAGTGTGTGTGTGTGTGTGTGTGTGTGTGTGTGTGTGTGTGTGTGTGTGTGTGTGTGTGTGTGTGTGTGTGTGTGTGTGTGTGTGTGTGTGTGTGTGTGTGTGTGTGTGTGTGTGTGTGTGTGTGTGTTTTCAGATGTTCACCTCTTGGTTGTGTGAGGGTGAGGAAGAGGAGGAAGAGGAAGGCTCCTCAGATAAAGCAGAGACACAGGACTGCAGCAGAGCCATGCAAAGCACACACACACAAACACACACACAAATACACACACATACACACACAGAGAAAGGCCAAAAAAAACGAATAGACAGAAACAGAGAGAAACAGAAACATGATGCAGGTTAGTCATAAAAAGAGAATCTCAATGTAAGTCAGCAGAATAATCAGCAAGTAAAATGAAACAAACAACACAGCAGAGTTCCCGTTAGCCGGTAATTACCGGACTATGACCGGTAAAATATGCTGAAGACCGGCAAATCTAAATCTCTCCGGTCAAAATGTCCGGTCAAAATAATTTCCCTTTAGCGCAATACTGCATCAGTTGCGCCACTTATGTGACAGACAAGCATAGTAGCCTATGTGACAGACAAAAGAGTATGTGACAGACAAGAATAGTCAATTCTAATGTCTAACACTTAATGTGGAGAAAGAGATGTCCTGTATGGGTTGATTGTGCGTTGATCTGTTGGTAATGCCTCGGGGTTCCGGTGGGCATGTAAACAAATGCATAATGCTACGCTATACTTTGTGGCTTCACCCGTTTGCATAGCGACGCTTATTGTTTAGGTGTCTTTTAATAAGTAGGTAGTCGTATCATTAGCTAGAACTAGCTAGATCTGATCGATATGGACATAAACGCGAGTAAAGTCTAATCTGACGGGAGAGAGAGATCAGCTGCTGCTGACGAGTCGACACGCAGCTCTGCATGATCACCTGCAGCGGTGAGCAGAGCAAAACACACTTCAGGTTAGAACATCACACGTAGCTATTTTAATTACCTCTCAAACTACCTAAACTAGTTATAGATACGTTTAGTTTGACTGTCGGGTCACTCATTACTGGATCCGCGAGCTGCATGATACTGGCGGGCTGTCAGGAGAGGGAGAGAGCACTCAGTTTATTATTCCCGTGTTATTGTAAATTACTGTACACTTTTGAATAGTTAATTAATCTACTATAATTAGTTTGTTTAATATCGAATCATATCAATTTGTTTTAAAGCTCAATAAATAACAAAGAAGACCTTTGACCGGCACTTTTCTAATTTTGTTCGGAAGATTTAAACTTTAACGGACATTTTGACCGGCAAATAATTATTCTAACGGGAACTCTGACACACAGGAAGAAGAAGACTTTCGGAAAACACTTTACTCACATATTGTAATAAAGTGCTCCAGTGTGAATGTATTCCAAAAGATCATGAAGTAAAATCTATCCATTAAAAACGTGTGCAACAGAACAACGTGTCTCCTTAGTGTCAGAGAGGTTTGACAAATGCATACAAAATGCATTACATATATATAATCCAACAACATGTTGCTGCATCCAAAAAGAAAACATACATTGATGTATAAGAACAACCAGAAACATATAGTCCACTGGAGTAACTGTTCCTTTTCTAAAAATGTATTTTGTTTAATTATTAGGGATAAAGCTACTTTTACTCCTAATAAATGTGCATGGTTGATGGAACAGGTAAAACAAGACAAAACTAAGGTGGTAGTATCCAGGTGGGAAAGTGTTTGGAGACAGCTGTATACCAGTTCAAGTGTAACAATTAAATATATTTTATTTTGTTAACATTGGGTGAACTTAGTTTGTCTCTTATTGGATTGTTTTACAATTAAAAGCGCATACTGCCACATTGAAGGCTTACATGGAATATTCTTAGTATTCATTTGGAATCCAAACATAAGCCTAACCTGCAATAAAAAAACTGTTTGAGATTTGATTTGGTTTATTAAATTCAAAATTCCGAATAAGATTTCAACTTAACCTTGATTCAGACTACATCCCTGTTAGTTAAATACAAATACACAAGTCCATCTGATTGTGAGATCACGCTACTATGACAACAGAGAAACAAAGGAGAGGAAGAAGGGGGAGTCGGCTCAGACTGGGTCACACACACACACACACACACACACACACACACACACACACACACACACACACACACACACACACACACACACACACACACACACACACACACACACACACACACACACACACACACACACACACACACACACACACACACACACACACACACACACACACACACACACACACACACACACACACACACACACACACACACACACACACACACACACACACACACACACACACAGTGTGTTTCAGTAAGATGGTGAACTCTGTCCTCACCTGGGAGCCGTCCGGGGGCATGGGTGAGGGGGACTTGGACTGGAAGGCGTCCTGGGAGATGAAGCCGGAGTCGTGGGAGGAGACCGAGGAGAGGCGGGCGGGGGCCTGCTGGGGGAGCACCGAGGAAGAGGAGGAGGAGGAGGCACGGTAACGGAAGTGGGAGGTGGGGGAGTGGCAGTGGGAGCCGCTGGAGCGAGAGTCGCTGCTGTTCACACTGTTCAGGCTGCTGCAGGGGGAGAGGGGGGTTACTGAGAAGCTGTTTGTTAACAAAACCACTATCTTCATTTGAAATGGTGCCATCATTTAGTGCACAAATGTTTGCATGTCACTATCACCATCATTTGAACATTTGCGCTCGGAAATGCACAGGTTATTTTTTTATATACTGATTTATCTTATTTATGTTCATATTTGATTCATTTTGTTCTTATTCTATGTTTCTTGTAAGTACTTCTTGTAAATATGTTTATTTTTATATATACTACATTTTCCTCATTTATTTCCTGATTTTCAACACAACTGCCTTTCTTTTTTGTAAATCAATTTATTTCAAGCACACATTTTCACATCCAATTCATGGGTAAAATGCAGAGGTCAAATGTCACTGTGTGCCGTGTGCCGTGTGCTCTGCATGTGTGACCATTAAAGAGGGGTTCATCCCTCCCATTCTATCTATCTATCTTCTTTGAAATGTAAGTATTTAATGAACCAGAGAAATAACAGATTTCATGAGGTCCTAGTGAAGCTGCAGCTCCCCCTAGTGGCCACAGGGAGGCAGCAGAGAACAGATCAGATAATAAATCAGCTGGTTGAGATGATGGGCAGTTTCTGTGGCCATGGTTACCAACCTGCACATGCTGGACTTCCTGGATACAGTGGTGCTGGGTGAAGAGGGGGGGGTCTGGTAGGACCAGGTGCACTCAGAGCCCTTCAGGTCTAAGATCACCTGGAGGGACAGAGGGGAGGGTCAGGAAAACTTCAATCATTTGTTTTGCCATTTATTTGTGTAGTTAACTAATACAACTGGGACCGTTTTAGGCCATCAAAGACAATTATTATTTTACTATTGTAATGCATTGCCACCACCATACACACTTCATCTTCATGTAGTGTCAGCTGCCAGATGTTAAGATTGTACAAGTCATAAATTACAAAACTGATCCAGTGTTCAAATTGCTCCAACTGGCTAAAAAGGTGCAAGTTCAATGCTTTTTTTGTGGATATATTTAGTTGTTTGGGGTTTATTGATGGCCTGTAAACACATGGACTTAAAAAAAACAAACTCAATTGAGTATCTATTCCTGCATTTGACTTGCACCATTGTGTCACATGTACTATTTATCAATTGTTTCCTTGTATATCTTAAGTTTATTGTATGTTGCACTGTTTGATAAGCCTACTGTACAACAAACAACTTTGCTGCAGTATGCACATGTCAGTACAACCTTTGAGTCCCATCTACAGTAGCTTTAGTTCTTCTCCCTGGTGTAGGTTAGCTGTACTGTACTTTCTCCCATTTGTTCTACTTAGCTCCCCAACACTGACTACTATATACGTACATTATTTATACTATTGTAAAATATTGCACTGCTATTTTAGTGTCTTTTTGTTGTTCATTTTATTGCTATTATTACTACAATGTTGAGGATTCACAACCAAAGATTTGACTCTCTTATACTTGAATAATTGAGATGAAACACTAAAGGAATCTTGGATGGATCCTGGGTCAGCAGATATGTAGGTTCTCAGGTGAGGAGGTGTACCTGCTCGCTGGAGGGGGGCAGCTTGTGGGGGTCCATGGTCAGAGCCTTCAGGTCGTCTGTGAGGGTCTGGAGGTGAGTGATCTCCCCCAGCATGGACATCTCCTCCTCCTGACCACACACACAGCAACACGCTCAAACATGTACAACAAAACCTCCTCACTGCACTTTGTAAACAACCACCACCTGGGTCTGTAGCATGCAGGCTTTTGATAGAAGTACATTTCTGTTGATCAGTTTCTACAGTCAGAGTCTATTGTGTGTGTGTGTGTGTGTGTGTGTGTGTGTGTGTGTGTGTGTGTGTGAGAGACTGACCACCACGGGCTTCAGCATGGTGACGAAGCAGCAGAAGCGGCTCCTCTCCTCCACCAGCGCCTTCCTCACCGCCTGCTTCTCCGTCTCCTCCAGCAGCAGGTACTTATCATTCACTTCCTGCATGGCGCTGTCCAGCTGAGGCTGGAGGTCCCCGCGACCTGCACACACACACAGTTATAATTGTTATAAATAAATAACATAACTACGCTAAATAAGTGAAAAGCTGTTGCTGAAAAAAGGAGCAGAACATTTGGAAGTGTGGGAAGAGCTTTGAAGTGTCTGAGACAATTAGTGATAGGATCAATCTCTCTATTAACCAAAAGAGTGAAGAATATCCACCACAGTTTCTCAGAGCCAAAGTCAAAATGAAATTCAGGTTTTCTCGAAACATTATTCAATTAAAAACCATGTTACTTATTCATTTACTGTCGATCAACTAATCGGATCAATTTCAGCTTTACTGACATGATAATAATAAATAATAATTCATTTATTTGATATAGGCGCCTTTCAAGGCTCTCAAGGTCGCCGTACAAACACATAAAAAACAAGATACACAATACATAACACCAGCATAAGAAACATAAACAAGACAATGCAGTATATTTTGATGATGTCAGATATTTTCAAGTCAAAGGAAAGTGGACGTTTGAAAGGTGATGAATGCATAACAGCAGTCAGTGAAAGGTCCAGGGAGAGGTCTTCTTCACTGACAAGGTTTTGGCATTAATGGCTGAACATACTCTATGTATAATGGTAAAGAAATGTAGTGCACTACATCATTATCCAGGTAGTAGAGGTGAGTGAGAAAGACAGAACAAGAAATAGAGAGCATGACATCATATCTTCACTTTACTTCCATTAAACAGGACTTTAGTTTCAAAAGGAGCAGCAAACCCTGAACCTCTTCAATAGTTAGAGCCTCCCTCAAAGCTCCATTACATTCAGGGTAACAACCAGCCGCTGACATCCAGCTAACACTCCACATTATTCATGTGGTGAGCTTTCAGAGATGTTAAGAAAGAGGATCTTATTTCTTTCTTTATTAAATGATCACCTCCACTGGAACTGCATGGACATCTTTTCCACATTTGTCCAACAAATCCCACAAATGTTTTCATAAAAGAGTGAACAGTTTTCCACAGAGCCAACGCGCCACTTTTATTGCCGTTTCTCCAACCATGTCACATTTGAGAAGCTATAAATAAATCAACTAATCATTTAACAACTGTCGACGTCTTTATTGTTCTTACGAGGGTTTGGGGGAAGACTTTTCCTCTCTAAGACGATCATTTGGTAATCCCATCGTCTGTTCTTTACAGACATAAACATGTTATTAAAGATCTTTATTTCTCCAGTAAGAGCCGAGACTTCTGAGGTCGGCCTGAGCGCAGCGGCTCAGCCGAGGCTTCTGAGGTCGGCCTGAGCGCAGCGGCTCAGCCGAGGCTTCTGAGATACAGAGAGGGAAGAGATGGCTGAGAGATCCTTCAATAGACGGGAATGTCATTACTGGTTTCCCACGGAATTTAAGCAACCAATCCCGAGGGCAGAAGATCCAACGCACGCATTTATCTCTCCACCTCTATCTTCTTTCATTTTGTAAGCGTAGATACTAAACACTGACAATTTGTATACATATTTTACATTCTGTTAATTCACACTACATGTTTAAATCTGCCGTTATGCATGGCCAAAACAGCTGACTTGAATGCTCACTGTACATATTGAATGAAGGGTTACAACATGCTGCTGACACTGAGCATTACCTCATCTGATGTTGACAAAGAAAGACAAAGGCAGCGTTGCCATTGTGAGAAATACAATAATAAAAATGAGGAATGTGGAAGTGCAGATGGCTGGAAGATGCAGACATCATGGTCTGAAGTTCAGTTTGACTTCCATCACAGCAAAGTGTGAGTCACACAGAGGCCACAACAACTATTAAAGAGGCCCTGTTATGCTTTATGGGGTGTCTCTTCCCTGTAGTGTCTTGTATAGGTTTTTCTGCATGTACGTAAATGGTCTGCAGAGGCTACAATCCCTGTGTTCCCTCCAGAGGGAGTTTCTCTCCCACACTCATCCACTGTCTGAAACGCCTCCATTGGACTCCTTTGTTTACCTCAATAACATTATGACATCACTATGTAACGCTAGGCTTCTATTGACTAGCGCTCCAACACATTGTACTTGATAGGCTAATGGGCGGGACATCTCTAAGCGGTTGACCAATCACAACAGAGCCGGCCAGCTAGCCAATCAGAGCAGACTGGTTTCAGACAGAGGGTGAAAAGAGGTGCTGCAGCACAGGCAGTATGAGAAGGAGAAAGAGCTTTTTGAACATTAAAGCATGGAGACATGTCACAGTAGAGACACTACATACTGATATGTACCTGAAAATGTGCAGAATATGTCCTCTTTAACAAAAATGCTAAAACAAATGGTTCGCCATATGGCTCAAACTGCAGACAGCCAACCAAAATATCCGACCAGCCAGAAATCCATCAGTCAGATTGTTAATTGTTCAGGAAACTAATCAGGCATCATGACCCACTAAATGTCCTGTGGCACTCAATCTGGGTTAACATCTAATCCATACTGTGTGTGTACTCTGTAGCTTCATTTTTTTAGACCAACTTAGTTAATTGAATTGTAATATTGTGTCCCTCGCTCCACGCTGATTATTGAACATGAATGCAACAGAGATATTTTTCCTGTTTAAGGTCTTTGTCAAGGACACATGTGCATGTAAAGAAATGATCAGACTCAATGATATGTTTATTTACTGTCAGTACAAGGCCAACAAATCGACAGTCAATGGGAACATTGTAGCATGGAACATTAGACTTCTCTAGTTTGTACTGCAATTACAGAAAAGCAGTTTCTTGTTTACATGTTTTTAATGAATACGATCACTGCAGAAAGCCAACTGGGGTACTTAATAATGAATACGAGGAGATTATCTATTTTAATTTCCTTTCTTTTAACTCTCCCTTTATCTTTGACATCATTCAGACAGATGGCAAAGGGAACTCCTCCCTCCATCACTCTCCATCTCATTCATTCCCTTCATTTTAACTTCACCCCTCTCTCATTATATTGATTTCATTCCAACATTCCCCTCTTTGAATCTCTTTTTCCTTCGTAACATTCATTCCACTGCAGAGGGAGTTTCCTATGGTGCAGTAATAACAGTCTGGAAAGGCCCGACGACCAAAGCAGACTTGACCACATCTGAGGTTCCTCTGGGGTCAATCCTGGGCCCTGTTTGTTTTGTCTTAAAGGCTCAATTCAAAGCTGGAAGCCATCAAGTCCTTTGTCGGCTGGAACAACAGGCTCTTGTTTCCACTCATAATACGACTGGTTTTAGTTCGATGAATCAGACTGGAACTACTTGTTCTAGAAGCAGAGGACTCATTGGGTGTTTATTTGTGGTTCTGTGCAGCTCAGTGTGTAGAGCAAAGTAATAACACTGTCATAGAGGGCCTGATCCCATCGAGCTGTCAGACACTCTTAATGTGATGCATAAACGTGACAGATTGCAGGCTAATTTCACACATTTCTTCTGTGTGGGAACATGATAACTACCCTACTGTGTGTGATCCAACCAAGGGGCCCCATCTGGAGTGAAAAGTCAAGTGCCTTTAAACTGCATTCTCTTTAATAGCAAGCAGGGGGCGCCTTCACTGCACACACTCTTCCCACTCTCTGGTCCAAAAACCATCACTTCTGGCTCCAAAAAAGCCAAGATGGCAAACATCCAAAAGCCAAAATGCCAAACAAGGATGTTAGCATGATAAGCTAATTAGCAGTAAACCCAAATCACAGTTGAGGAATAGAAACGTTGACGTGATGATTGTCCTGGATTTAACAATTCAGAGAATCAACAAAGCCACTGCAATTCACCCTGTTGGGGACATGTGTGTGTGTAATGTATTCAATTTTACCGCAATCCATCCAATAGTTGTTGAGATATTTCCCTCTGAATCACATTTCTGGACAGACCAACACTGACATTCCTAGAACAGCTAGCATAGCTAGAAATAAGCAAGAGGCTGTACAGGAACATCGCTAACCACATACTGTATACAGTGTGAACTGGCATAATGCTTTCAAAATTAACAATTAAATGTGCCCTAACCAGCAGACTGTTCACACTGAAGTAAACACGACCAACACGTCTTCTCGCATATCTATCCCAATGCTAGCAATCTTAGCTACCATTGAATGAGAATTGTTTATCACAAATGTAAATCAATAATTCCTTTTGAACTCAATGCAATATGTTTCAGTATTATTTTAGGCAAATTCAATGTATTAAATATTGAAGTGTTCAATAGGTTTTCCACAGAACATTATGTGAGCTCCCGTGCTTTTCCTCTTATCTGCACCTTAACATCACTGGCTGTCTTCTGTTGAAACTATCAGTCAGCCACTGGACAGCCTGCGATGTACTTTGGGCTGGTTCATGATGTCCGTTTAACTAGAAATTCATGCTCATCTAGTTTACTGTACGTTGGGACATTTCTCACATGTCACAGTCTGAATTCACATACTATGTATTGGAACCGATACTTACATACATCAGCAGTATGTATAGTCTTTGATTACGAACACAGACTGAGGTTTTCAGTGTTTTCCTGTATTATCTCATTGCAGTCACATTTGTATTGATGTTATAGAAGCATTGTTTCTAAATGACCTGAAAAACCTCTTAAGCATTTCTGTATGACATTCCTCGTTACTTATTGTCCAACATGTATAAAATAATACCATTATATCTGTGACAAAGATATTAATAACCAGGCTGTATCATGCTTTAATATTCCATATTGTTGTATAGTTTGTGAGTTACCCAGCTGTGTTTTGTTGTGGTGGGATTGTGCCACAATATATCATGTTTTACAAAACGAGCTGGGGAAATCCTTCTCTTTGAGCCTCAAGCTCTTTGTTGTGTTCAGACTTCGGTTATGTGAGTCACACAAACATCTAAACAACGTGGGAACATTTTTCAGCCGACCAAAGCAGGCTGGATAGGATGATGGTTTGTTAGATGTTATCAGAAAGTCACTTTCCGTCTTGTATTCACCATGATAATACATTCAATATCTGCTTACCTCCACCGGCCACATTTAAGCCAAAACCATCATAGTTTTATACTAGTGCTATATTAAAACCAAACTAGACTGAAAGCTCAGGGGATTTTTAAAAAGGACAAATACAAGAAGATACCATTATTAACACTGAACAGCTGAGTATTTCCAAATAAAATCTGTAATGAAGGGTCATAGGTCACAGGGTCTTGACAAGAGACAATATTGTACCTGTGTCTTTACAATAATCATGCATAAAAGTAAAAAGCAAGGGAGTAGAAAAGCAGCTTACCAAATACATCAGCTGGACGGAGCAGTGCATGATGGGACACCACAGGAAGGGAAGGAGGCACATTGTTGGAACAGGAAAAAAATCATTAACTTTAAAATTATCACATATCTAGAGTCGGAAGAAGTACTAGATTGTATCTCTTTACTTAAATAAAAGTACTCATACAACAGTGTAAATGTACTCTTTTCCACCTAACTTATTAGGTATTTAAATGAAAGTACTTATGTGTCAGAATCTAAATATGCTTTAAAGGTCACCTAACATGCTATTTTTAGGCAATAGCATAGCTCTCAGATATATAAAAAGATATAAAAAAACATGTCTATGAAGTGTTTTGGTCAAAATACCAAACAGATCACCCATTCTAGCCATGCTTCATATCCCTCAATTTCACTTCCTGTTACAAAAGTGCTGATTCTGGGTATAAAGCTTCTTTTTTTTTTACTGAAAAAGATAAAAATAAGAGGGGGCGGAGCTTATGCCGGCTCATGCGGGACCTGGCAGATACTGTCTAAAATACTGCGGTGATGAAACGCAAGGATTATTAGATCAAGGATTATCTCTGAAACAGTATGGAGCTCAAAGGCTTTCTCTCTTGCCGGTTATACCACAAGGTGAGTTCCTTTTTATATCCTGCTTCTTCACACACATGCTCTCTCCAGTACAGCTTAGTTCTGAGTGTTAGCGATGCTGGCTAATGTAAACAAAGACTATTACGTCCAAAACAATTCAGGAATTGTTTCTGATACAGCGACGTTTCTGATGGCATATCGGATGGCAAATCTGGATCAGCTCCGTTGTACCCCCGTTTTTAGAGATTTGCGCACGGAGGAAAAGAGAGAGGGTTTTATTTTCTGACACTTTTGGCGCGTTTCCACTACAGCGCGGAGCACGGTTTAAGAGGGCTGTGACGTCAGCGGCCCGTCTTTGGTTGCGTTTCCACTTGGCCTAGTACCGGCCGGCGGGTCCTAATTCACAGTTTTTCTGGCCTCATAAAATCGTGGGTCCAGGGCCAGAGACAACGAGGCTGAGTCGGGCTGAGTATGCTAAACTAGAGAGAGCATCGCTGGCAAGGGGGCTACAACTACAACAAGATGGACATATTTGACCGTGATTTAATTGTAATACACGTTTCAAAATGATGCCGAAGTAACAACATACTGATACCGGTTAGTAAAAACCATGAATTAATGCTTTGTCAAGTCTGCAGACAGACGGCAGGCGAAAAACCTTTTAAAATGCGTGTTTTCTAAATGGAGATTGGCTAAGCTAACGCAGTATATGCTCCGACCGTCCACACTCACAACAACGGCCTATACAGACATAAATAAAGCAGCGACTGTATTCACCATGACACAGGCAGTCTGTGGTTTGTACTTGTTTAACTTTTGTCTAGTTTCTGAACAGATATGAGGAGCTGTGAGCTCTGAGTGCTAACAGCTAACGGCTGTGTTGTTTTTCTGGGGTCCTCTGAAGATCACGTCACGGCTCCGCCTACACTGCGTTACTATAGATACTACCCCAGTTCCTAAACTGTAATGGAAATGCGCTATAAAGTGAGCCAGTCCTAACGAGGCCTAGCCATACCGAGCGAGGCCGTGCGAGGCCGTGTAGCGGAAATGCGCCATTTGTGAGTTCCCTGACACACTGGGGACACGTATTTATGTATAAAAGACATCAAAAAGTGCATTTTGCATGATAGGTCCCCTTTAAATACTAAATGTTACAGATGTACTATGCACAATTGCCTGATTTAGAATCTTATTTATTTTAACGCAACTTTCTTTAAGAATCAATTCTGATTGGTCAATTATGACATTCTTCGGTCTATTTATATTAGCATCAAGTAAAGTAACCTCAAAATTATACTTAATTACATTTCAACACTGCTTCTCTTCATAACAATTTCAATACCACAAATGATTAAATTATTCCACTGTAATACTTCCACATGAATTCCACTAATAATGTAACTATGACACACTCATAAAATCATTCCAATCCTTCCAACTCTTTCAAAAGAGTGTTATTACGAATTGAAATATGTTTTTAGGCCAAATGACACTTGATATATAATGATAATAATTGCTCATAAGTGACCACACACTAAAGGGATTGCAAACCTTTCTTAGCTTTCTTCTGCAGCTTCAGAGTGTCAGATGATCTCTTCTTGATCTCCTGACGGGCCTTCTTGTACTCTGTGGAGAAACACACAAATAACAAAAGATATGTCTCAGATATTCACATAAATAGTGAGATTCAGAAACAACACCCAGACGTTTGACACACATAACAAGGTGCATGTCTGTGTTTTTCTACCTTTGGCGTGGTCTTTGTCCAGAGTGTTGGAAACTCTCTTCCACTCCTCCATCTGCTCCTGTAGAGGGTTGATCAGACAGTCCAGAAACACCCTGCGGACACACACACACACATTTTATGTCATAAAAACTGATTTGTTGGTCATTATGAATGTGCATCGCTGCTGAACACTCAAACTGGAGAAACATATTCTCATGTATCTTGATTTCAGCGCATTGTAGCATGTGGAATTATATGTTTGACCAATGTAATCCTTTTCATCCAACTGATGTCATTAAAAACAGAGATATGCACTTGCCAATGGTATATGTTAGTGATGGAAAAGGCTAGCCATATCATTTAGGGTTTAACTTTCAATGATATACGATACTTAGAAGACGCCAAGAGTAAACTAATTGGATAAGTCAGAATAGCACAGTGCCCTTTTTTAGTAAATATGAAACTACGACTTCATCAGAAAGTATCAAGTATTTATTAAAGGAATTTGAAAAGGATTTAAGTAAGGTCAGAGGAAATAGCAGCAATTAATTCACCAAAAAAACTAAACAGTTCCACTTCTGAATACAAACCTACGCCCTTGTATCCTAAGAAGGCTTAGCTCTAGAATAATTCATGAACCAAGTCTCACTACAAAAAGATGATGATACTTTAAAACTAGGATCAGACAAAACATGCCATATGTATGATGAAACTTTGCTATTAAATAATGCAGCAACTAAAGATTCTTTTAATATTTATTATTGATGAATGTGCCGAAAATGCCAATCAAAGTTTCAGGAGGCAGCTAACAGGGCCAAAGTGTAAAGAGAAGGGTAAAGGGGCGCTAAGTAATTCTGAGCTAACTCCTATCTTTTAGTAAATACATATGTCGATATATTCACACACTAGGCTTGTGTAGTTATTGAAATGTCCTTTTTAATGGCAGGAATCATTGAAGTAGGTTTTAGGCTACTAAAATACGAACAGTTTTGTCAATCCTAATCTTTAGTGGACACCTTTGTTTTTGGAGACTAGACATGAATACTTGTATTTGTTGCATTGTCCATGTTCTGCTTTTATTTGCCAAGCCTTTCAATAAACCTACAGTGTTGTTAGACATCAGTTCCAGATTACAGCAGCCTTTTTGAGTTTTCCTGTATTTTTGAGGCAAAATAATGTAATTCTTCAAATAATTGAGGCAACCAATTAAATACATAATATTGCAATAGATCAGAATACTACATTTTAACTATAATGATGAGGTAAGATAGATTTAGAAATTGCACAGGAAGAGAGTGTGATGGTGAATGGAAAGCTAGAGCAGGAGGAAGAGGAGGAGCAGGTTGCCATGGAGAGGGGGGAGGAGATGCTACACCTGTTCACCACACTCACATTTCTCTGCCAGCATGTCAGCCCTCAGGACTCAAGTGTTAATTATGCAAATGTCTTAAATAGAAAGTGTTTCTATTTTTGTATCTCTTTTATTTTAAAGCAGTGTCTCCGTATCACAGCATGATAACAGTACCCAGCCCTCAGATGAACTCACATGGAGAACTGGCGCAGTTTGGTCTCGATGCTGCGGTGCCTCATGCACATCCTGGTGAGGGCGGAGCCAATGTCCCGGGTTCCCCCTGGAAACAAGAGGGAGACAATCTGTCAGACAAATGTGTCAAACTGTGCCTGCTGCCTTCTGGAAGCTCTTTTTTAATGGGTTAAAACGCTTAAAAATGAAACTGAGATTGATAAAATTGCACAATTAAAAACATATCTTTGCTTATATTCTGAAGTCTGAAATCCATGAAACAAGTTCACTCATTGAGATGAACACGGATAAAGAAGTCATACGGGAAACAGCAAGAACAAGTACATATGTAGCCTCGATATGAGTTTTGACTACACCAATTCAATCACAACTGAAAGCCTCTCTTAGACATGCACATGACTGTACTCACAATTTTACATTTTCATTTTGTAAAAAAGCAAAAAAGGTTAACTTTTCCCTTGAAGTCACAACTCAATCAGAACACTTGCACCAGAATCACATTAACGTAAAGGCTACAGCAATAAAAGGTAAAAGTTGCCTCCCTAAGAAGTTGTAATAAATGTTTCAGCTAATTACGCCTTAAAATGATCTGTGAATCTGTTGGACAATACACAAAGTACGGTAAAATGTGTTTTAATGTTCCTAAAGAGGCCCTATTATGCTTTTATTGTGTCCCCTTCCCTGTAGTGTGTTATATAGGTTTCTGGGCATGTAAATGGTCTGCAAAGTCTAAAATCCCTGTGTTCCCTCCAGAGGAAGTTTCTCTCACACACTCCCCCCCCCCCCCCCCCCCCCCCCCCCCCCCCCCTGCCTGAAACACCTCCATTGGACTCCTTTGTTTACTCCTGTAACATAGTGACATCACTATGTAACACTCCATCTCCTATTGGCTAGTGCTCCAACACATTGTACTTCTTAGGCTAAGGTTCGGGACATTTCTAGGCGGTTAACCAATCCCAATAGAGCTGGCCAGCTAACCAATCAGAGCAGACTGGGCTCTGGTTTCAGACAGAGGGTGAAAAGAGGTGCTGCAGCACAGGCAGTATGAGAAAAAATAAAGAGCTTTCTGAACATTAAAGCATGGAGACATGTCACAGTAGAGACACTACATACTGATATGAACCTGAGCATGAGCAGAATAGGGCCCCTTTAAATATTACTCCCTCTAAAATGCTATAACAGAGTGGAGAGAGACTTGTACACAAACTTGATAAACATTATAGTCATTAGTTACAGGAGGAAAGAGGGACAACAAATAAGAGGTTTGATAACTTTAAGTAGAGGTTACAAATTAGGAGGTTAGATTTAGTTTCCAGAACAGCAGCCCTGAAGCTGACAGGGACTTCTAAATGTGTCCCTTGCTAAAGGACACTCCAGCAGGGTGGAGGCAGTTTGAGAGCTCCCGGAGGGGCCAGATGGTCGTCCTCTCTCTCCCCCAGACAGAGCACTCCCTCCTGGGGGAAAGTTCACCGGACCTCAGCCTGTCATCCTGGAGGATTAACAACACCTCCAACACACTCCACTCCAACACACGCTAATGTTTGTGTTAGCATACTTCTGAAGACCTTCTTAACTGCATGCAAGGTTCATACAATCCAACCTCTATACATCCTTATATTGTATATATTTTGGATTTTGTACCTTTCTTTAACAGTATTTGACGATAAGACTTTTGGATAAAAGTAGATTTTTTTGTTTCCGTTTTTCCATGCAAAATTGTCAGAGAATGCTATTTTCAATCACTCAAATATTATATTGTCCTGCTATTCCCTATTTTATATGATATTCAAGTAAATATCTTTGGATTTTGGACTGACACAAAAAGACATCTATAGATTTATCCTTGGACTTTGAGAAACTTGAATTGACATTTTTCACTAATGTGAATAATCTGCAGATTAATAGATTAGGGGAATAATCTTTAGTTACAACCCTATCGGATAGTATTTGTATTTGTATATCAGTGTTTCATATGAATAAATGTATACTGAATTACTCTTTAGGGTGTTTTTTGACCTAAGGCATGTATGAAGTGTCCCCATAAGTATAGTATACATGTGAGTATGTGTCTGGGTGGGGTGGTGAGCACTGCATTGCACCACTGACACCTCTTCCTCTCCTCTGCTCTTCCCTCTCTCCACATGTCCTCTCTCTCTCCTGCAAATCCTCTTCTCACACTTTCCCCATTTTCTCTCCTCTCTCTTCAGCCTCCCAATAACCTCAAACATGTGCAGCAACTAAGAGCAACCCTTCCTCAGCACAAGAAGACCATCAGTAAAGGGAGATACAATAACACTGTGAATGTGGCCAGGATGGTTTGTTTATTGTTGATGAAGATAGACAAGCTGCTGAGAATGTTTAAATCTTAATCTGACGGACACTGAAGAGTAAAGACGTACAGAAAGTCTCTTGAACACTGTCTGGAAACATTTCAGGCATAAATGCTCAAGTCAGACATCAAAATCTGTTTGATTACTGTCTCCAAGGAGATTATGGTTTCTTTTCGGTTTGTTTATCTCTTTACATCTTGATTACGGAAAACTAGTAATGTGATTTCCATTGGTGGAAGGGTGTAGCATGGGCCAAGTAAGAAGCCATCGTGGGCCGGATCCAAAAATATGTTTTCACTCTCTTTAGCTTAGCAGAAAAGGTCTTTTGGTAGATCTGTGCTGTGCTATTGCCCTTGTAGTTTTTCTAGGCATCAATGTAGCAATATATTATGTCCTTGTTAGACGTAATATATATATGGGTTATTGATGGGTGGACCTGGTTTACCCATTTGCTTGTGTTCACCATCAATTTAGGTAATTATCGATGGGGGACACATAAAAAAAGTTTTGGACAGTTTTTGTTATTGTTCTAGTAAAGTTGTAGACCTGCAGATTTAGACTCCGTTTACACGGAAACTAAACGGAGAACGAACCGAATTCAATATCAAAAAAGTCTTCCGTTCACATGGTATCGGCTCAAGAAACTTGTCCGTTCACACGAGACCGCTCGACCTGCTGGAGACGCTGTAGTACATATGCCGGTAAGTGGCACAAAAAGCAGCGAAGAAGACCCCCCGAACATGGTTGCCATGGATGCCCATCTGTTTATGCTCCGCGGTGGATTTAGCAACATGTAGTTCATGTAGTTCTCCATGTCCACTTGTTGCTGATGGTTGTGGTAGAGGAGCTGTAGATTTTGCACTAACATCTGTAGCATGGTCAGTAGCAGTAGCAGTAGCTACTGAAAGTAGCTACTGACCATGCTACAGCAGTGAGCAGCAGAGGTGGGGAGAGGTTGGGCTATGGCTTCATCGTTATCAGGAAATTATCGTATAGGGCGTACACACGGAGCCATTTGGCCCCCCAGAGCGTTCCGTCCGCAGATCTACCCACCTTGGGACCCGTTATCGTTTGAGGGGTCCGTTTCCGCGGTTCCGTTACAGCCTGGTGTGAACGAACGGGCTATACGAAAGAGAAAAGTAGCAGATACAACACGAACCGTCTCCATGTAAACAGGGTCTTAAAGGTCAGTGGTATCAATCCAAGCAGAAACAGCATGTCCTCTTATACTGAAATCAGTTCTGTTATAGGTCCCTATTGTTGTTATTGGTTCTCAGTTAGTTCAATTTGTGCTGCAGTACACGAAACACGAAAAGCTGGTTCGCAATCGGCCAATGGCTCCGAACCTGCCCTGCAAACACTTCAGTGGAAGGGGGGTAAAAGAAAAGCCAATGCAGGAGTGCCTTAAACCTGCATTCATTTGAATGGCCAGTAGAGGGTGATCCAATGGTTGCAGAAAGAAGTCTGTATAGATCTATGAGAAAATGATTGTACTTTTCATCCTATTTATCACCTCAGTGAGTTTTGGGTCTTGCTTGTTTATGGTCTTCTTCAATACAGCATGATGTTCGTTACGTAAGTTATGATCCCATTTAGATGATAAAGCAGGGTATTCTTTAGGGAAAGGCTGTGATTGACATGTCACTAACAGGATGATATATGGTGTGGGTGTTATCTGCGTTGTCATATTAGAACTATTACCTTTTGAAGTGCAATTTCTGTTCATGAAAGAAAACTGCAACATTTTAGTCTCTTAAAAAAGTGTTGTTCAGCATTCCATTGTTCTTAGCTCCACCCTCTTGTGTCACTTCCGTTTCCAAAAACACAAGATGGTGGCGGAAACCGCAAAGCTTCTGGCTTCAGAACCGTAGTCCACAAACCAATGGTGACATCACTGTGACTACGTCATCTTCCAATATAAAGTCTATGCTCCACGTCCTCTGCATCATGGTGGCTTCATCGTTTGTAGAATCCACAAGACATGTTAAAGTGTTCCTTTAGGGTTTCACAAGAACATTTGGGGGCTGATATACTGACTTTTCTCACCACTGATGTCTCTTGCTCCAAACACACTCTCCTTTCCTCTACTCCTCCTTCACGCCATCTATCTCCACCATCCTCACTTCACTCTTTTCACACATCATCCTCCTCTTCTCTCTTCTCCTTCCCTTACACTGCTGACCCTTCTCTCTCAGTTCCTCATCTTTTCCCTCCATCTTCCTCCTCTCTTCTCACTTTAGGAGGTGTTACATCCCATCTTCTCCCTCCTCCTCTCTGCTGTGCTCCTTTGAGAAATAAGATGTTGTTCTTCTGCATCAGTCCAGGCTGATTTCACAAACGGCAGACGATCACCCGCAGAGCTCCATTGCGCTTTTAAAGGCTAATATTATTCAGAATTGCTATGTTTTTGTTGCTAGTGCCAAGAAACGCTATCTGGAGAACATGTTTCAACAAAAATACATCACATGGTTTCTTACCTTTGTATCAGTACAACATTTGTCCAACAAAGCCTACCGTGACATCATTTGTACATCATCAATGCAGAACATCAACAAAAGACTAAAGACTGACACATTGTTGAACAAATTAGCACATTTCGCCCTGGTGCTGCATGGGCAGCTGGAAGCCCGGTTTCTCGACTTTACATGACCCTTTGTGACTGACATTTGTTTTCCTCCAGGAAGTATAAACACATGGTTAACAATGTGAGATGAAGCAGACAAATTGACTTTGTTAGGTTTAGTAAAACATCATGGTT